TGGCTACTGCGTGCCAAAAGTGAAAGGAATGTCATTGTTGACCACGTAAATGTCACGCAGTTGTGAACTTTTGGGGACACGGTTATTTCGCATGTGGTTTTCACCGCTTCATAAACTCGGCCACGTTTGACATGATATTTCTCTAAAAATGACAGAAAGAAAGAGACAAATGTCCTCTCTTGTTTCCTTGAATTTCTTATGAAACAACATGACTGTCCCGTGATGATTCCAGCTAGACAGACTTACAGAATTCGTCAGACTTCTGATGAAGGCCGTTACTCTCTCTCTCTCTCTCTCTCTCTCTCTCTCTCTCTCTCTCTCAGCAAAGATAGAAACTTTGCAATTGTTTTTTTTACAATATGCACTTGTTAAAAAAAAAACAGTCCTTACGCTGTATTGCATGAACGATGTCTACAATAGCGTCGGTTGATACGACGTTGCTGTGTTGATGCCCATTCAATTTCTCCCATTTCAATTTCTTGCATCTTGTCACGTGTTTCCGTTCACTGTCGACCTCCTTGTACCATTGCACAAATCCGCAGTTGTGTTCCATATTTCCGTTGTTCGTCGGTGCGGCCACGAGAAAAAACATGGCTACTGATGCAAAGGATGTGCATTCGTTTTCTGCTCTAATTGCGACGTCACTGTGCACTGGTCTCCCATGAAACTGTGGTGACGCTCTTGCAGTTTGAACAAGTGTGCCCCTGTTTGTTCCGTCCTGTACGCAGACGATGGCGAGTTGTGTTCGTGTGTGTATAAGCAGATCATCAGAAGGAGGTTGACAACCATTCTCCACCATGTAGGTCGTAAGCGCTGCTCGAAAATCACATATGAAAGGAAGCTCTTCGAGTATCTTACACGCACGGTTGTCAATGCGTTCTCCCTCCCGTATGTGCTCATCATCGATGTCGAACCACCGCAGTTGCAGGATTCCCGTATCCCGTAGTGCGAGGGTATTCATTCCCGTGGCCATGGAGTCTGTCACAGACGATCGGTTCTCGACCGTTCTCTTCTTCCGTTTCCTCACGATCCCGGTCTCTTCTTGCAACGCCAACGACCGGCGTACATGGTTCACCATGTGGGTTGAAGCTTTTCGCTTGTTTGACGACAGGTATGGCTGTTTGCAGAATTTCCTGTGGTGATGCTCCCAAACGTCTGTTGCGAAGGTGTCAGGAACACCGGATCGCTCAATACACGTTCTCAGATGCATCAGATCGTGCAACTTGGGGAGTTTCCATTCTGATGGTTGATATCTCCCCAATTTCGCTTTGATGGTCGTAATGAAGTCCGTGATCAAAGCGTCGCATTCATCGAGCGAAGCACGAGTGTGTGTTGTGCACCGAAACACTCGTACATACATTTCCATCAGTTTCACAAAACAAAGGGTGATGCCCTTGCCTGTCGAGTGCGGGACAATATTACAAATAAGGAACACGCACACTGTCATCACAGACCGGTTTTGCTTCGCCTCGAACCGACTCTCCTTCGAAAAAAAATCGCTCCAAGTGGCCACCGGCAGCACAAGTTGGGGGTATGTTCGCGTGCATCTCTCACTAACGCTCTGCAACCTGGCATCTAGTTCCTTGAGGATATCTCTATTTGCGGTATGTGCGGCAACTTGTCAAACGCTGTCGTCCTGAATGCGTCAATCATGTGCAGGAATATGCCATGCTCGATTGTGTGCATACGGTCTGGCTGCAATGCCGGGTGGTAGTCTAGCTGAGGGTCGTCACCATTGGGACCCCTGTAGAACCCCCAAAGGCCGTTCTTTTGAACATGTCTATGCATGTTCAACTCTGACATTCGTCCTTCCGTTGCACGTCGCATGTCGATGTCGTCGGATGTGAACACAACTGCTGTGAGGTGTGTTTCGTGCGTCTGTGATCTCCTGCAGTCCGTGAAATCGGCTAGGACATCAAAGTCGGTTCCGGACACTGTGCATGTCGGGCATACGCCAAACTTCACAGTCGCAAGCGCACATCGTTCTGGGTAGTCTTGTATATAGTTGAGGAGGAAATGGTGGACATGTCCCCGAATCGCGTTGTCGGTATCATTATTCCGTCATGAGATGCCTCCTTCGCAGACTACAACACCACTGTAAGGGCCTTGTGCAAAATGACGGCCTTTTGCTTTCTGAATGCGGTGGACTGTTGACCCCATCATTTGTCACGTGGACGATGATGAAGCACAGGAAGATAGGCCAACAGTGTGGCTTCGGATGCATGGTCGACTAGGGACATCATCAGAGGGTACGCCGTCTGTTTTTGACGACCGTTCGTGTGTGTCTTGTCAAAATAGAGCGACAAAGGGATAACATAACGTGGATTTCCATTCCCGTCCACACCTTTGTCTGCTCGAATGATCGACTGGATGTGATAACTTAGCACCCCGCTGCGAGGGCCAGATACCTCTGACGGCGGGAACACCTCCAGAGAAGACACCGTCTCACATTTCTGTAATGCGATATTAAAAATCGACAGAAATGTGGTTCGCCAATCGCGGTGCCACAAGATGGCATGCGCATCTCGTGGCCAGTCGTCGCTACGCAGATCCGACTCCTTCCATCCCGCAGCCTTTGCTAGACTGCCTGCCCATGTCAAACACTCTCGACTATTACGGTACGCAATGTCTGTCGTGCTAAATCTCGGGTCTTTGAGAAGTGACAAGAGAGCATCTATGTCACTCTGCGACATACCGACGCCGCCCCTGACAGAGAAAATCAGTGCCACCAGCTTGCGAGAGCTGTCAAAAGACTCCGCAGGCGGCAGTTGCTGCTTTGCGAATGGCCCGCCCTCCCCGTCTGCGTTCTCGGGGGCTCCGATGTCCTCGCTCTCATCGCTCACGAGATTCACTGGACCTATGTTTGATGGCCCGCAGGCGTCAACAACACCCATCTCCTGCCCTTGTGCTCTTTCGTCCACCACACCCGGGCATGCCCTCGCACGATGTGAATTCAAAGTTCGTAAGGACATGAAAGACCTGCCACAATCGCATACCCGTGAACCGCTGTCCATTTTTTGTGCATGCAGTCCATTCCAAAGACAAACAGAACGGTGCGGACAGTGCTTTGATTAACATTTTTCACATTGGTTGAGGTCGTTCGAATTATAAGTTGCACAACATATTTTGTTATATTCTGTAAGTGTTGCCCTTCCTCTGCTGTGTGTGAGAGAGATAACGATAGAGTCTTGAATGCCATTTTGGGAACTGACTGTCTTTGTCACTGATCCCGATTGACAAAGATTAGCAGTCAGACGTGTGACACGATAATGTATATGCCACGACAGGTTCCATGGTCCTGTTGGAAAAGGCAATGACTTGCACAAGGTACACGATATGTGATATGACATTCATCACCACGTTTGTGCGGCTGGTTAAGTTTGCAACTATCCATCCATAATGTTTGTGAATGTGGTATGTGTATTCTGCGTCTGCATCAAAATTATTGCACACCGGCATCTCAGCCGACCTCCGCATCCATTGCCGAAACATTTCACAGCCTGCAAAATTTGAATTGACATCACAAAAAATGCAAAAACAAATAATAATAAAAAATACAACATACACACATTGGTCATCATAGCGGGTGTGATGTGTCTCACGTACTACAGAAGGCAACAAATTATAACATTCATTGTAACAATCATCAAATGATTGAAATAAAGTTGCACCCAATGTCTGGATGCTGTTGTGAACCGCATGTATTTGGAGAGGCAAACAACAGGCAACATGACACAGAACCTGTAGACAGATGTACAGGTTGTACTATAGCTACAACTAGACATACGCGCGCGCGCGCGCGCG